TTTAGATTAAATGAACTACAATGCTTTTGATATAAAGAGGGTGGATAAGAAAAAAAGATTTGTTAAAAAAAATAATATATATATATGTATATTTTTTCTTAATTATTATTTTTTATTTATATCAGATTTGTCTAGTTTAAATTAGATTTAGTTTAATAAATTGCTTTTGGAGGAAAAATCTATGTACCGGTAATTTTTTTTTTTACTTTTAGGATACTTTATATTCTAAAAGTTAGTCAGCATGAAATATGGATTAGTTATGTAGCATTAAGCTGTATATTAATGCAATATTTAAATTTTTGGGTAAATTAACTCCATTAATCCAAGTGCCCGCAAAGATAAGCACTTTTTCACATCACAAATGTGAACATATAAAGTTCAGTAAAAGATATTTACATGGTTATTTTGCAAACCAATGGAGAGTTTTAATGTAAGTTGCTCTCCAGATATGAGAGACTACCATGTTAAACTGGAGATAGATCACTTTGCAATAATTTTATCGTTATCTATGTAGTTCTAATGGTATATAACCAAATCAGTTCTGATATAACTGTTAAACTAATCTGACAAGTTATTATTTTAAATATGAAACCGTCATCTGGTTAATCATGAGTTAAATTAAGTCTTACTGAGCAGTGGTTTAAATCAAATGCACCCTGGTTTAAACAGTGACTTTTAATAATGAACACAGTCCTAATGCAAATATAAATAAAAGTGTGCTTATCTTGTTACATTATGAATGTTATAGAAAAGAAAGGCATTTTAATTAATTTTAATGTATTAGGCAAACGAATGTCTAAATTAGTTAAAGGTCCACTATAGTGCCAGGAAAACAAACTCGTTTTTCTGGCACTATAGGGTCTTTAGGTACACACCACACTCAGGGTCCCACTCCCGCCATGCTGAAGGGGGAGGAATGGGTTAATCACTTGCCTTTCTCCAACGCGCTCCCTTGGCACTGGGGAACTCTCCTCCCTCTTCCGACGTCGGCGCTGAATGCGCATGCAAGGCAAGAGCCACGCGCACATTCAATCAGTCCATAGTAAAGCATTCCTCAATGCTTTCCTATGGACGTCAGCATCTTCTCACTGTGATTTTCACAGTGAGAAGTGCGGAAGCGCCTCTAGCGGCTGTCAATGAGACAGCCACTAGAAGTTGGATTAAACCTAATGTAAACATAGCAGTTTATCTGAAACCGCTATGTTTACAGCAGCCAGGGATAACACTAGATGGACATGGCACCCAGACCACTTCATTGAGCTGAAGTGGTCTGGGTGCCTATAGTGGTCCTTTAAGTTTGGGCTACTAAACTGGTTCATAGATTGCAGAATAAAATTTACCAAAGGTTAAATTATCTTAACATGTATAGCTTGGAGGAAAGACGAGACAGGGGGATATGATAGAAACATTTAAATTCATAAAGGGAATCAACACAGTAAAGGAGGAGACTATACTTAAAAGAAGAAAAACTACCACAGCCAGAGGACATAGTCTTAAATTAGAGGGGCAAAGGTTTAAAAATATCCGGAAGTTTGACTTTACTGAGAGGGTAGTGGAAGCATGGAATAGCATTCCAGCTGAAGTGCAGAGGTTAACACAGTGAGGGAGGTTAAGCATGTGTGGGATAGGCAGGGCCAGATTAAGAGCCCAGTGGGCCTGGTGCTGACAATTCTGACGGGCCTGATTACAGAATCATATCGACCAAAAACAGTAAAACACTCATAAGCATCATGTATCTGATGGAGATGGTGCTGGAGAGAAAGAAAACAGCAGCTATAAGAAAACACATACCCTAGGCTAATCTCTCTCTAATTTATGTTTTTAGCTTTCAAGTAAATCCATAACCCCTAACAGAAACGTCCAATCAAGCAGGAAGTCAATGGGCACGATAAAAGGGTTTGCCACTGACACAAATCACGTAACCTGCCAAAACGGGCAAACATGCCCAAAAAGAGGACATTTCTGCTCAAAGAATTAGAAGGCCAGCCTGACATGAATGCATGTCAGGCTGCCTGCCAATCATGCAGCTGGCCAACTAAGGGCATACTATGCAGACAACACCCTGAGCTTGGCATAAATGCATCTAATGATGCGCTCACTCAACGCTTTCTAAGGACTGTCCCCTAGCACTCGCTGGTCCACTTGTCTCCTTACCTTCTTACTAGCAGGCAGAAGATCCTGGTATATGGTCTGGGACAGAGTAAAGCTATATGTAGTGAGTGTAGAAGAAAGGGAACATGCCACAGTGTTAGAGAGACCAAAGTCAGCATTACCTTAAAGGATCACTATAGGGTCAGGAACACAAACATGAATTCATGACCCTATAGTATTAACACCACCATCTAGGCCCCCCTGGATCCCTCATGCCTCCATAAATATAGCAAAATCTATATTCAAGCCTGAAGCTGTAACTCGGCATGCTGTTAGACTCATAAAAACAAGCAGTCTGCTGACATCATTAGAAGTGGTGGCCTGATCCAATCACAGTGCTTCCCCATAGGATTGGCTGAAACTGACAAAGAGGCAGATCAGGGTCAAAGCCAGTATGATTCAAACACAGCCCTGGCCAATCAGCATCTCCTTATATAGATGAATTTCATTAATGAATCTCTATGAGGAAAGTTCAGTGTCTGCATGCAGAGGGAGGAGACACTGAATGTTTGGATGCATTTTAGGCAGCCATGACCCAGGAAGGATCTCTAACAGTCATCTAAGGAGTGGCCAGTGAAGTTATCACTAGGATGTAATGTAAAGACTGCATTTTCTCTGAAAAGACAGTGTTTACAGCAAAAAGCTTGACGGTAATGATTCTACTCACCAGAACAAATTCAATAAGCTGTAGTTGTTCTGGTGACTATAGTGTCCCTTTAACTATATTCATTGTCAGCCAGTCCACACAAGTTTTGTTCCCATACATCCCACTTAAGTTTCCATACTTAAGTAAGAGTATGTGAAAAGTAGTTAGAGTTGCCACCTTTCTTGGAAAAACATACCGGCCTTACTAATTTGCCCAATTAAATATGTATGGATGACATCACATGATGTAAATCACAAGGAGTGATATAAGAGAAAATGCTGTAAAATCACCAAAAAACTACTTAGTTTGATTCTACTGTATAGATGGATTCCTCCCAGTGCCCTCATGACTCAGTGCCCCCATGTGTCAATTACTCCAGGTCTCAGTGTTCCTATGTATCAGTGTCTCAGTGACCCATGTCTCCCAGTGTCCCTTAGTGTCTGCCATAATATCTCCCAGTGTCCCTTAGTGTCTGCCATAATGTATCCCAGTGTCCCTTATTGTCTGCCATAATGTCTCCCAGTGTCCCTTAGTGTCTCAGTGTCAGCCATAATTTCTCCCAGTGTCCCTTAGTGTCTCAGTGTCAGCCATAATGTCTCCCAGTGTCCCTTAGTGTCTCAGTGTATGTCTCCTTGCAGCCTTTCCCCCATCCCTTACTTCCCTGAGCTGTAGGCTGTCTCTGCAGGGTGGGAGTTGCTGTCTGGACTCTCTGTAGCTGCACCCCTGCAGAGCAGTGAGTATAGATAGGCAGGGATGGATATGCTGGAACTTCCTATCCCTGCCTGTCTCCACACACAGCGACCCCTACTGGCCAGTGCTGGTATTGCAGAGTAATCTCTTGTTTATACTGATAAAAATACCAGCATTTGTATTGCCAGTATAACTGCAATATTGGCACCGCCAGGCAGCCCCAAATACTGGCTGTGCCAATAAAATAAAAGCCAGATGGAATCCCTAAGAGTAGTGTGAAAAAAAAAAAAAAAAATTTTTTTTTTTTTTTTTTTTAAATCAATGGGCCTATTCCATGGGCCTGGGCCTGGAGCTGCAGCTCCATCAGCCCCTATGTTAATCCGGCCCTGGGGATAGGCATAAGTCTATTCTAGACTTAAGATAAGGCCAGAGACTAATGAGAGTATTTTGAAAATTGGGCAGACGAGGTGGATCAAACAGTTCTTATCTGTCATCACATTCTATGTTTCTATGTTTGTTGGCAAATCTGTCTTTTGGTCTTCTCAAACCATTAAACCTACAGTTTTAGCCTCGTCATACAAATACCCACTGTCAATTTGTAATGGCATGTTGTTGTGGTCGTGACCTAAATATGAATATTAATCTCTTAATACATAATAATTACAACATTAATATTTTTATAATTCATGGTATTATTGTCGAATATGTGGATAGAAAATACACAAAACGTTGTAATATTAAATGTATATTTAATATAACTATAACAAATAAACAGATGCTAGCAGAATGTCAATTTACTACAATTATGATACAATACAAAACTACAACATATTACTTACAAAAGGTTACTACTTACAAGGCCCCAGCCCTTTGGCTGGGGTTAAGTCAGAGCTGGTACTATATCTTAGGTTCAGTCAGGTACAGGCAAAAAGAGCTTGCTTCTCCTAACATCTGGTTTTTATTCAGTGTAAGTAGGCTGGCCTGTGATGTCACTGCCAGAAGCACAGGTCTTCCTACACACTCCCCCTAGTGGTGCCCCCAAAGCATTACACTAAATATGCTTTACTGACATCTAGTGGTGCGTCTAAAGCATTAAGCTCATTATGCTTTTTTTATCACAAAAAGTCATTAATTAATAAATACCATTACACATGTTAAGGTTCCTTTTAATGGATATTCTAAGTGAAATGCATTGCTGCTAATTCCCAGCAGTGTGAAGAAATCGGGTCATATAGTAAACCAACAATGCACTTCAAGATTGCTTTGATCAGCTTATCCTGAAATATATCCTTTTCTCCACTTGTCCCATGTGCACTCTAGACATGTACAATTTGGTTCGGTGCGAATTGAAATTCGGATGAATTTTGGACATTCGGATGCTTCCGAATGTCAAAGTGCCGAATTTCGGAAGTGCCGAACCGAATCGAATTGCCGAATTTCGGAAGTGCCGAAGTGCTTTAGACTGAAAAGTGGCAAAACGGGTAAGAGTAGGATTGGGGTAGGGATAGGGATTGGGTTAGGGTCAGGAGTAGTATTAAGGGTAGGGTTATGGTTAGGTTTGGAGTAGGGTTAGGAGTAGGGTTAGGAGTAGGGTTAGGAGTAGGGCTGGGTTAGGAGTAGTACTCCTAACCCTACTCCTAACCTAACCCTAACCCTACTCCTAAACTAACCCTACCCTACCCTAACCCTACTCCTAACCCAACCCTAACCCTACACTTACCCTAAGTCCCGAATCGCCGAATTCCTGAACCGAAACGAAGTGCCGAATTGACGAAGTCCCGAATTGACGAATTTTGGAATGCCGAACCAAATGTTTTGCCCATGCACATCCCTAGTGCACTCTAATGCTTTAGAAATACAATGAGCACCCATGAAATGTATGAGTATTAGTTATTGCACATTAACTGAAATTTAAGGCAGTCCATTCTACAGAAGTGTCACCACCTATAATATGTATTTATGCTGCTGTACACCTTCTGTCCCAGCCCAGACCTCCACCCTGTCTTGGTGCAGTATCCTGAATAGTCATCCTGTCATTCTCCATCCCTCCATTGTGCCTTAGCTTTTCACTTTAGCACTTTCTCTTGAGTAAAGAGTACAAGGCAACACGTATACCTCCTTAGTCCTCGGATAATAGAAACCTACATATGCAATGCCCAAAGAAGGTGATACTACCAAAAAACAAGACCCAGTGCCCTTGCTTATTCACTAACTAAACAGCAATTTCAAGTTTAACAGAATGTAATAGTTTTATTTAAAAACACTTTACTTAGAAAATCCTTCCTCCTGGGAAATCTCTGCAGGTCAAGGTTAAACATGACAGGGAGCTGTGCAAAACCAAAGGAATAGTGAAATGTGAGATTTATTAGGGTACACATGTTATCTTTAGATGTATATATTGTGAGAAAATGTGAAATGATTGATGAGGGAAGATATATTAGGCCTGCTTTACTAAACAGCAGCCTGAGGTTTCTCAATTAAATGCCCCAGGGAGAGATGTTAAGTTTGCAAGATACATTGCTGGTTCTCTGCAAACCACGGTAAGGGTCCCTGGGGTGGAGCATTTGGAGAGCAGGGTGGGCAGTGCTCCAACAGCACTAGTTGCTATGTAATAGCCAGACCAGGACTTGTATATACCTTAGCTGTTCCAGAGATATGAACTAATTTATACTCACCTGTAGCTGGTCAATTAGCAGGCAGGCTTTTAAACGAAGGGATCAGCCTGCTGCAGAGTAAGGGAAAGAGAGCCAGGGGAATGGTGTGTCTTGCATGTATATTTTGTTATTGTAAATTGGTAAATGGCAAAGCCACCTAATTCCAGATAGTAACTACTGCGTTTAGTAAGTGCTCAAACAAGAGCTAGACATTTTGTTTTGTTTATTTTATTTTGAAGCACCTGTATATTTTGCACCAAATAAAATCAAAAACACTGCTGGATGTGTCCAGGACTTTGATTACCCTAAAAGGCTGTGGTTACCGCCAGATCTGTGACAACCCTACCTGTAAAAGAGGTGGTTTGTTACATAATATTAAAAGCAATCTATAAACATGCAGAATTTTGCTTGTGATTATCATGCTTTCTTTGAAATTTATAACCAAATATGTTAAAGAATATTTAAGTTACGATCTAGTAACAGTGTTATGAAAACTGAAAGATTAATCCACAATAGATTTAAAATAAATAAATAAATGTTAGAATATAATATTCAAGTCAAGTATATTCCCATCTTGTTTTAATACTTTACAATTTAGTTGTCTGTTTAAATTAATCACCTAAGCGCATGATTTGGTAAAATAACCAAATAAAAAAAAATAAATAAACTTAGTAATTTATTGAAAAAGTATTATTCAAAATGAAAAGTGTTTCTATTACATGACTTTACTTTTGAAATTTTAAAACATTTTTGCCTGATTATCATAAATTCAAATATACTTAGTATTTGCTCTTTTGATTGTTAATCCCTATTTTAGAGCTTTCATCTGCTTTCAACAATATTGTGATATTAACAAAGACATGAAAAGGCTGTGTTAATTAAAATGTAACTTTAATTATTTCATGTAAAAAAAAATACTAATGCTGATTCAATGTCTACGGAAAGTAACAAACAGCTTGTTGGTTTTTAGGTACTGCTCATGCATGTTTTACTATGCTAAGGAATATACTATTTCACTAGCACTGTTTTTAGAAACTTGTTTTTTTTTTGTTGTTTCTTTTTTAAATGGAAAACCATATTATCAGTTCCAGATTCAGAAGGACAGCTGGACATGTTTTTTTGCAAGAAATGTGATGTGTCAATTCTGCTCTAAAACATAGACATGCATCTTTCTATAACTAAGTGATGCAGTAGTGAGATACACCCGTGCATGGAGATTACAAATTTGCTAATTATATTTGTCTTTCTTTACAATGAACAAATTTATCTAAGGGTAGGGGGAAGGGGCATACCTCCAAATTGTGGAGGATATGAAATTAGTAGGAACAGCCCATTAAAGAGGTCCTCCAGTTAAAGATGATATGTAGAGGGGAAAGAGGATGAAAGGTCATAGTGTAGTATTTTAAAAACTACAAATAACAACTCTAGATGTAGCACCTAATCCCTCCTGTGGATATAGGTCTGAAATCTTGATCCAATAGGGTGTAGTTTGCCTATTTAATACAAAAATAATTAATACACTAATATATTATGTCATATGTGCACTTATCCAAAGTGAGTAATAAACTGTGTATAAGTGCACGATCACATTTAATGGAGCCTTCAAGAAATTCAACACATGAGGCCTTGAGTCTCTTTTAGATATGGTAGGTTAAAATCTTCACCATGATATAAAAACTAAAATATATTACGTACTGTGTTAACATAAAATAAAATAATAGGAGATGTACTCAGTTGGTTAAGAGCAAAAAATGGTTTTGTTCAATCCAAAAGCATGGGTATATTCCCCACCAATGGAATTGATGAAAATTCAGGAGCTGAAAAGTTTGCTCTGTCTAAGAGTGCCTTCAGGAGAAAAATGCTGTTGAAACTTTGTTACATTATTTTTTAACTAGTAAATAATTAAATGAATAAATAAAGACTAGTAAATAAAGCAGTTTTCTCAAATCAAAGTATCTCTTCACCATTCCTTAAGTTTGACAAGAGCTGTTTGACAAGGTCTTCGCAAAAGAACTTAGCTACGAAACATATATCTTCTCTTTTGCCCGATGCTGATTTCTACCAATAAATTTCTCATTTATCACCCCTATCATTATATACCATTTCCATTACACCATACTTTCATTCAGTTTGACATATCAGCCGCTTTACTTTGTTTTGTATATCCATATAAAATTAACTGATCGGTCACATGTTTTAACTATCTGTTATGCCAATAACTTTTGCTCCCTTATTATGGTAATCAAGTTTATTACATTACAAACTGGTATATATCGTTACCATAAACCCTTTTTACTTTAAAAATGAAACGTGTATGAAATACCTAATTTTTAAATATTTGTGTCATGTTTGACATAACAAGAACATTAAATGGTTATGCCTTTTATTAAAAATTTCCTGAAATGAATATTTATTTATTGGTATTAAACTTTAGGTCTAATTTTAATATAGCATTATTTTTATCTGGAGGTTTGAAGGGGAATACCATTTAAACAGTTCTGCCATTTTTATGCTATGGTTAGATGGATTTCTTAGCAATGTCTCTACATTGTTCTTGATATCAACATATGTTATAATTTTGTAGATAAAAGGGTCAAGATCAGTTCATTTACTAATTGGGTAGTTTATCAGCAACACATATTTGTTGAGGTCTAATTTTAATTGGCAGGGGATAAACACAAATAGATAAGATAGGTCCAAGAAAACAGAAGTCATGTAATTCCAGAACATTTCCGGTTCTCACAAATAACGCTTTTATTTTTTATTGCAAGACGGTATTTTACATCTGTCTACAAAAATAGTTTGTTGATGCATGTAATAAACAAATAAAATATTCATATGCACAGGGCCGGTGCAAGGATTTTTGGCTACACAGGCAAAGTTGCATTTCGCCGACTTCCCCTCCCCCCTTAAAAAAAAATGCGTCTTCACCTATGTGTCTTGTAACCCCCCTTTTGATTTTCTTACCCTCTTTGGTGTATTTTACCCCCCCCCCCTTTACTATGTATTACACCCTCTTGTTGGTCTCTTATAACCCTCTTGTGTATCTCTTTCTTTCCCCAGCCCATTTGGGTGTCTCTTCCCCCACCCATTCTTTTTGCGTCTCTTTCTTCCCCCCAGCCCCTTTCTGTGGCTCTCTCCCCTCAGCGCATGTTGTGTCTTTTTTTTCCATGCGATATAAACATATATATATATATATATATATATATATATAGCAACAAACAACTATACAGGCACTCAGTCCCAGAGATATGCAGGCACACAATCAAACAAATACAGGCACACAGCCATACAATCTACACATACAAACACAGACACATTCGGACACTGTCCCACAGACACAGGCATACAAAGATATACATACACAGGCTTATAGGAATACAGAGCAGGGGCTGAGGAAGGGGGACAGGGGCTGTGGTGGGGCTGCTTAAAAAAGTAGATGAATTAAAAAAGCGTATTCCCCCCCCCCTTCCTTGAGGCTTACCTTGGGCCAGGAAGGGGTGGGATAGGATCTGGAGTCTGGAGCCAGCACACAGCAGCCTGGGAAGTCAGCCAGCCTCTCCTGATGATGTCAGGAGGAAATAGCATGACTTCCTCTGCTCTTCTACCAGATTCCCCAGCGGTCCTGGGAGAAGAGCAGTGGAAGTCACGCCCCCTCCTCCTGACGACATCAGGAGAGGGAGGCCGACTTCCCTGGCTGCAGGCTGAAGGTAAGTTGAAAAATCCGAGTCGCCAGCCAGAGGCAGGGGATTCAGATTTTTTAACCCCCCTGCTCTGGCACCCTAAGGCGGCTGCCTGAGCCGTCTTCTGGACGCGCCAGCTCCGCATATGCATTATGAGGACAAAATTAAGCTGTTTAGGCTGTAAATATTTATCGAAACACTCCATTGCCAAAATAAAAAAAAGTAAAAAAAGTAAAAGAACCACGATTTAGTAAATATACCATAATGAAAACATGCATGCACTCAGGGCTAGATTTACCCTCTTTGCTGCCCCGATGAACCCTTCCCCAAAACGTTAGAGTATTTGA